CGCGCGACAGCCAATCAGAGCCCCCAGACTGTAAACATGGCGGCAAGCTCCGCCCCCGCCCTTAAAGGGACAGCTCCACGCGGGACCCCAAGGCGCTGGTCTCGCCCCACGGCGCAGCCAGGGAGGGAGGCACGACCCTCTCCTCAACCCTACTGCTTTATTCGAGAATCGCTCGTCCTACACGAGTACAAACACAACATGGCCCAAAAGGCTACAAAGTTATACAAAACAAACCAAAAAAAAATTCTGTATAGTATTGACTGTACAATAGGTGGTAAATTCTTTGCCTTGCCCTGGGTCAACTCCAGTTAATCTGGCTGGATTGTGGCCTTGCAGGTTCCAGGGCTCAGTGCTCAGCTGCTTGTTTGGGATTTGTAAAAGCAAAAGCACTTGCACAGTTTCACTGGGGGCTATGTAGGAAGTTTTTACCAAAACCCTCGAAGAAAAGGTGAAAGAAATCACTTATGAGGCACCTAACAAACCACTTCTTAGGATTTCCATCTTCTTCTCTAAAATATCACGTTCAGTGGGCCTGACCTTCATTCCTGTGATCACCAGGTGTGTCACAGATCTGCAGGCAGAGCTTACACTGCAGAAACGAATCATCATGAGGAACTGGAATAAAGCAACAACTCTGTATATATGTCTCAAGCAGGTCTGGACTCCAGCTGCCCTGAAAAATCATGTGCTGGCACTGACAGATCAAGGTTAATGCCTCCCAGTCTTACTCCCTGGGGTTCTGAAACAGCTCAAGATTTACATGCTGGTCTGTACAGCGAGCTAAGCGTTTACAATCACCAAGCAGCAGCAGCCTGCTAACTGGAGAAAGAGAGGCTAGAACATCTTTGCTTCCCTTTCTCTGGAAAAGACGTTTTTACAGCCTTTAAAAATCAAAGCCATTTTTAAATAATTTCAATTCAATGCCAGGAAACCTCACAGCAAAGGCTACTGGCTAGGAACTGGTGCTCTCTCCTCTTGGGCTGCCTTCGCTGCCAGGATTCTCTCACTCCTCAACCAGACTCGTTATAAAAAAAAGGTACAATGTTTAGTCTGATGGGATTTAAGTTAAAAAAAAAAATCAAAAGCTGTTCAGTCCTTTTGCTTTATCGAGAAGAGTTGGAGCTGGAGCGACTACGGTGGCGTCTCCTCCCAGGGGATCGGGACCGGGAACGCCGGCGCACGGGGGATCTGCGCCGAGGAGACCGCGACCTGGCAGGGAGAGGGGAGAAAGCTTCTGTTAGGAGACAACAGGCTCCAGAACTGCTCAGCTCATCTACCAACCTGTAATAAAAACTTCCCTGCCTCCCTCCAAACCCCCCTCACACGCCATGGGGAAAGAGCTGGAGTAAAACACAGTCATCTCCAGAGAGGAAATGTGCAGCACAAATACTGAGTGCGCAGCAGGAACACTCTAGCTATCCTCTGCTTCAGTAATTGGAAAGAACACTTAATATCTCTACAACAGACAAGAAACTGGTTTCCAGGCTGAGAAAGCTGGGGCTGTTCAGCCTGGAGAAGAGAAGGTTGTGTGGAGTCCTTACAGCAACCGTCCAGGATCTGAAGGGGCTCCAGGGACTTGGTTAGGAACTGCAGTGACAGGACAAGGGGCAATGGGCACAAACTGAAAGAGGAGGAAATTTAGGCTAGATATTAGTAAAAAGTTTTTTCCTGCGAGGGTGGTGAGACACTGGCATAGGTTGCCCAGGGATGTGGTGGCTGCCCCAACCCTGGCAGTTTTCAAAGCCAGGCTGGAGCAACCTGACCTAGTGAGGAGGTGTCCCTACCCATGGCATTGGGCACCCCAGAGCTAAGGAGTTAGAAACCACCAACCCAGGTTTGCTCGACGCCCAAAGGCCGTTCCTGTCGCTCGGAGGGGAAAGTCACGTGGTTAGAAACCACCAACCCAGGTTTGCCCGACGCCCAAAGGCCGCTCCTGTCGCTCGGAGGGGAAAGTCACGTCTGACTGTTCCCATGCCAAGCCTTTCGGTGCTAATGCCTTGTTACACCAGGATGGAGAAGCAGTTTATGGCAGTTCTCACCTTCTCCTCATGCGAGGGGGTGACCTGCGCCACATGGGTGGTGGTGGCAGCATCCTCCGGGGAGGGCTGAAGCGCCGCGGCGGTGGCCGAGGCCGCGGGGCCAGCACGGCTGTGGCAGTGATCTCCTGCCCGTCGATCTGGCCTTTTTTAAGGAATCACAGCAGCAGGCACAAGTTAAGGATTTTTCAACAGCAACACCTACACATCACGTTACTACAACTCACAGCTTTGTCACAAGTGACCGAAGTAGGATCAACCTGTGGCGCTATCTCCACTCCGTGCTCAGCTGCTATTCTGACAGAGTCCACACATATATTAAGACTTCTTAATCTAATATCCCACCCAACTGCAGTTCAGATGTTAACCTGGAAAGATTTTCACAAAAACTTAAAGAATGTTATTACTGGTTTGAAAAAATAAGTTGTTTTAATACTTCTGTGATGTTTTGGATCTGCCTCGAACCACACAAAAGCTATCTGGGCTGAAAACTGGCAGTATTTCAGATCAGTTCCCTAAAGACATCACCTCTAACCCACTTTCAGATCAAACTCAGCTGCTCTAGAGATGTTTAAAAGCCCCCTGGCTCCTTGCAGGATGATACCTACCTCCATCCATGTGTTTCAGAGCTTTCTCAGCATCATCTGGGTTCTCAAACTCCACATAGGCATAACCTTTGGAGAGGTGTGGGTTTAGCCTGTCAACTGGCATGTCAATCATTTTAATCTTTCCATAAGTGGAAAAAATCTCCATGATGTGATCCTGCAGAGAAAGAGAGAGCAATCCTTAAGGACACAGACCACACTCACTGCCCCGATCCGGCTGGCACAGAGCAGTAAACCCACAGCACATCATTTTTTCAGCACCCTAAACCTTTAACCCCTGACGACCTTTAAATTACATTCCAGCATAGACAACTCAAGCCAGCCCAGCTCTCTGCAGATCCCTTAGCAAGAACTGCCAGGTATCCTTAATGCCTCCAAGGTAACTTCAGCTGTTGTCTCAACTTCTACAGTTTTCTTCCCAGTAAAGCAGGATACAAGGTCTGGAATACTGACAAAGCAGGCAGACCTCTTAAACACTACAGTCTCAGAAGCCTCAATGGTATCTGACTCAGTAAAGTCCTGCTAATATTTTCCTCACTGATCAGTCTGGACACAAAGCAAGAATTTCCAGCAATACCTTGGCAGCTCCTTAGTAAGAACAAAGTCCTGAGTGCTCCCCACTCAGATGCTCTCACAGAGGAACATGGACACTTGATACTACAGGGGAACATGCCATTACCTTGGTCACATTTCTAGTGAGCCTTCCAACATGCACTTTTGTGGGTCTGGGTGATGGGCTCCGTCTCTTCCTCTCCTTTTCATCTCTCTTGGGTGGCTTGGACCTGATTTGGACAGCAGAAAACACTTAAGAGTTTCCAGTAAACATGCAAGACAAACCCAAGAAGCCATTTTTCTTGGAAGGGCATCGTTTTGCTCAAGAAGTTACAGGTTAAAAAGTGCTGGGGTGGTGGTGAGGGTGTCTCACTCAGAAACACCTCAGAATCAAGAAGCCATTTTTCTTGGAACGGCATCGTTTTGCTCAAGAAGTTACATGTTAAAAAGTGCTGGGGTGGTAGTGGGGGTGTCTCACTCAGAAACACCTCAGAACTTGCATTTGCCTTATTTGCTTTAGAACCTTCTGGAATTTGACAGCTTTTTTTTTTTTTTTCAACTTTTCAACTTCACTGCAACTAGTGTAACAAACATGAAATTGAACAAACACTTCTATGAAGTTGTGGCCATAGTTAAAGCATTTCCCAGTTGTTAACACAAAAAACATTCTTTGCCTCAACAATTAAAGAGGCAAAACACCACAGCATACCACAACCAGGCAAATTAACAGATCCAATCATCTGTGTTTCTCTATCTACTACAGAGATCCAGAAGTGTTAAAAAACACCTATTTACGTAGCTGCATATCACATTTCCTTTGCAGTTAAGAAAAAAACATCTGGAATGCAATTTTAACCTGAAAAAAACCCAAACAGTATGTAGAAAATTTCTATTTATTCTTCTTCCTAATCTTCCTGCCCAAGTGAGTGATACACTAAAAAAACCCACACTGGCTTCAGTAGATTTTTATCAGCCTTCAGCATCTCAGCCAAGGTAAAAACTGCAGAGAATTAACATAGGTTGTTGATTTCCTCATCACCCTTACAGGAAAATGCCTCCTATGCACACATAAATATCCTGGTTTTAGCCCTGGCTTTTCTGTTAGTCTTAGCTGTACATTACAGGAACTAAAAACTTTACTCTGATCTAGTCCCACACTAATGAGGAAACACTGATTAAAACTGCCTCTATAAAATATTTTAAATCACTCCTTAAAATGAGGTTTTTAATCTTTGTTCCCACAGGGTGTATGTTTGGATTGTAAGGAAAAGGAGCACACCCACTCTAACAGAATTGAGATCTCCAAGTTCTGGAGAAAGCAAATGGTCCTCAGAGAACAATCTGTTCTGATCACAATCTTGTGCTCTACATGGAAATTAACCTGCCATCTGGTAATTCCTAGAAGGCAAATGAAACTCACTTGGAGCGGGAGCGTCTCCTGTTGTCATGTCTCCGTCGAGAGGGACTTGGAGACCCAGAGGAGCTGCTGGAACTGGAACTGCGCGAAGTGCTGGAGCTCCCAGAGCGGCTCGAGGCAGAAGAGGAGCTCGAGCCACTGCTAGAACCAGTGCTGGAACTGGACCCTGAACTGGAAGTTGAGCTGGAACGGGATCTGTTGCAGGGGTGGAGAGAGAGGAATAAAAAACCTGAGTGGAATACCCAGAAAAACAACGGCTGAAAAACTTGTGATAATTAGAGAGAGCGACTGTGAGCTGGAACAATGGCAACTGAGGCTCCACAGGTAACTAGACAGCCAAAGAAACTCATACCTAAAACACAACCCCCTTCAGCTAGACAAATCTGCACTGTGACTAACACACCAGCAGCCCAAGAGTGGTGATTGCTGGAAGCACAGGGACCTGTCACTCCCATACCTGGTGCTGCTGCTCCCGCTGGACGCGCTGCGCCGCTTGCGCGTCTTGTCCCGCCCGCGGTCCTTCTCCCCAGACTCCTTGGTGCCTGCCTTATCCTTGGACCTGTCCTTGGACTTCTCTTCAGACCTGTCCTTGCGCTTGGTTGGTGAGGGAGCCCTTCAACAACAAATTGCAGAAGGCATTGCTTAATGCAGAAAAACAAAGGCGACAAAACCCCCAACCCAGAACACAAAATACTTAACTTCAAATGTACCTGAGGATCACCCTAACTGCTGAGTGAAAACCATCAGGCAGTCCAGAGCTTTAGGAGAAGGGAAGTATTTCACATGACAGAGCAGCTCTGAGGAAGACAGCCCCAGCACACAAAAAAACCCTCAGAAAGAGGTACATTTCCAGCTCCTCACCCTCACTGGGAGAGTCCTAGCCCACTATAACAACCCCAGTTCTGTTAAGCCTAGGAAATTGCTATAACCCCAGTTCTGTTAAGCCTAGGAAATTTGGACAGCATGATTACCTAGTGTTGGATTTGTTATTATTTCCTTTGATTCCTAGCAAACTCTTCTTTTTCAATCCTGATTAACTCCACTCTCCCTTTGGAGGCATCCAAAGCAGCACCAAACGGGCCCCACTTATCTCAAATATCACTTCTAACTCCTCAATCTATCCCTAATCGAGTACAATGAACTCCAAACAGCCTAGTGACAAAAGGGTTCAGAAACAAGAAATAAACAGCTAGGCATAAACCAGCAAACCTGCTTGCAACACACTGGGCATCAGCTGCCTTCTCCAGAACCCTGAGCTCCTGTCAGATGGGAAGTTACCTACCAGCCCTTGTGCCAGCTCATATGGCACTGGTGCCTCACTTCAGTCTGCAGCAAAGCTTAAAGCCATTGCTTGACACCCACTGAAGTACAAAACACCTTAATCATCCTACCAAAAATCCTGGCAGACAGAAGACATCCATTTTCTCTGTAAGATGCACAAGCAGCTTGTGCCTCTTGACACAGCCCTGGCTCCAGAGCAGCAAGCACTGGTTTTCTCCAAATCCACTTTGTGCCATGCAGCACATATCTGTCAGCAAGGAAGGGCTGTTGAGAACAAACCCCCACTGAATTATGGCTGCTTCCAACCTTAACAAGCTGGTCCCAAAGCTCTTCAGTCTTGAAAACACCAGGTTAAAGGGCCCAGTTTGCTGCAGTGCTGCCAGAGCAGTTCTCATTTTTCTCAACATAAAGTCTGAACTGGATTTTGGCCTCACCAAACCCATCAGTTCCCTCTTTGCTCTACATCCAAAAGGAGACAAATGGAACACCCCACTATCAAGCACTGAAATGCTGGGCATGAGTTGAATTCCAGATGTTTCCAGATGTGACACTGGCAGAGTTGGCTGGGACAGGAAACTTCTCTAGCAGCAGCAGCAGGAAGAAGACAGTGCAGACTGTCCCACAGGTGCTGCAAAGGGGACTAAGAACAGCAAAATACTCAGTTGGATATACCAACTGAATACCCATATCCTGCACTCTGTCAGTTTGAAGCCATTTCCCCCTGTCCTATTACTCCAGGCTCCTGTATATAGTCTCTTTCCATCCTTCCTGTAGGCTCCTTCAGGTACTGGAAAGCCACAATTAGGTCACCCCACAGCCCACCCTTCTCCTAAATATCCACAGCCAAATCTGGGCTCTCTCTGCCCACAGACCTCCAGCCCCGTAGTCTCACAGGGAACACGTATCAGCTCAGCCATACAAAACTCTCTGTTAGGATCCAACACTCAGCTTCAGTTTTATCCCTAAGGGACATCCCTGCAACCACGAACCTCTCGGTCCCTGACAAATCACTGCTTTTGCAGCACCCACCCCAGAACAGAAAGTCCAGAAGCATCGCACACAGCCCGAACGTTCACCCCACCACACCTCTCTGCTTTAGAGCTGCAGTTCCGCCGCAAAGCAAACTCACTCGCCCCGGGACTTCTCAGGGCTACAGGAGAGTCCTGACTAACAGTTTGCTGCAGGTTCTCATTAGCAAAACGGGGACGCAATTGCCCCCAGTGTGGACCAAATCACTCCGAGGATGGTCCCTGTATGAATCCAGGATGATCCCAGTTTGCTCCACTATGGTCCCAACCGCCCCCGCACAGCCCCAGCGGGCGCGGGGAGGGTTCGCGCCCGGCGCTTCTCT